GGTTCTGAGAAGCCTCAGAGAGAGCACCTGCATGCATAGAGATGTAGGCCCCCGTGTACTTTGTTGTACAAACTAGCGTTTGAGCCCTGTCTCTCTCTACATGTGGGTGCTGGTCAGTGTTCCCATGGGATATGACATAGGGGCCTTGTCCATAGTTCCAAGCACAGACATGCATCCCTCACATCATCAGCTTGCCTCACCCTGGGGCACCAGCATTTCAAATTCCCAGGCCAGAGCCACACTCCCACTCAGGGCTGCTGAAGGCGCTGATCTCTGGAGGCAGTTTGTCTACAGACCTGGGCTGAGTGACAGCAGAGTGAGCACCAGTGGCCTTACTGGTTTCCCTAGTATCAGGCTCAGAACTGAAGAGGGTCAGAAGTTAGAAGATTGGAAGCCAGCTAAAAAAAATAACACATGGAACAAATAAAAAGCCAACTTCTTTCCCATTGTAGGAAGTAATAACAGTTCTAATAACTGAGGATGTGGTATGTAATTCTGTTTACAATTCTTTCATCTCATGACAGATATGTGAAGCAGAGGCTTGCCCTGTTTCACCAGTGAGAAAACACTTAGAAATGAAGGGACTATTAGAAATTAACATGTTTGTAAGCCAAACTTAAAAAGTCAAAGATAAGGTTTTCTCTCATATATGGAAACTAGAGAGGATAAAGAAAAAGAAAGATGGGGGTGATTGTTATGAAAAGACCTGTAGAGTAAGAGGAAGGGAACCCAGGTAGGGTGAGGGGAAATACTGGGGAACAGTATTAACCAAATTATATTGTTAAATCATGAGCATGTACAGATTCGTAACAATGAGTCTCACTGATGTCTATAATTATAATGCACCAGCTGGGCACCGTGGCGAACGCCTGTAATCCCAGCAGCACTCGAGGCTGAGGCAGGAGAATCTCAAGTTCAAAGCCAGCCTTGGCAACTTATCAAGGCCCTAAAAACTCAGCAGACGCTGTATCAGAATAAAATATAGGGCTGAGGATATAGTTCAGTTAATAGAGTGCTTGCCTTGCATGCACAAGGCCCTGGGTTTAATCCCCAGGGGGAAAAAAATATCTGTGTATACATGTGTGTACACACACACACACTCATATATATATGAATGAATGACCTGGGGATGTGGCTCAGTGGTTAAGCACCCCAGGGTTCAATCCCTGGAACCAAAAATAAAATAAAATTATAATACAACAACAAAAAAAAAAAAGTTATACCATTGGAACTGTACTTTTTCTTTTTTTAATTTTTTTTTTTTTCTTTTAGTTGTAGATGGACAGCATGACTTGTTGTATTTGCTTATTTTTGTATGTGGTGCTGAGGATGGAACTCAGTGCTTCACACATGCCAGGCAAGCACTCTGCCACGGAGCCACAGCCCCAGCCCCGGAACTGTACTTTTTATTTTTTAAATTATTTTTTAGTTGTTGTTGGACACAATACCTTTATTTTATTTATTTTTATGTGGCGCTGAGGATGGAACCCAGGGCTTTGCATATCCTAGGCAAGCGCTCAACCACTGAGCCACAACCTCAGCCCCCCAAAACTGTACTTTTGATAGTGATAACAATAACTATAGAATAATCATGACAGCTCCCAATTGTCAAGCACCTGCTGTGCATCGAGCACCGAGGCAGGTGCTGTCTGTCTGTCGTCTTCACTGCTCCTGGCAGCCCCATGAGGTCCATTGTACAGACAGGAAAACTGAAGTTCAGAGAGTTGGTTCCACCTGCCATGGCCATGAGGGTCTGAGGGTATGAGCTGGAACTCAAGGATTTCTGTAATTTGCAGTGCTATGAGGAGGGGTGACTGGCTCCCCCCGTAACCAGGAGAAAGCCACTCCACCAGACAGAAGAAATGCCATCCGTTGAACCATTTGGCTCACCGGAGGATGATCTGTCACAGGCACCCCCCACAGAATTCCCCAGTCCTTGTTGGTCACAGTCCTGGGTTTAAGGCAAGCAGGACATCTGCGTGTCTATCCCTCCCAAATCCATATATATCTACCAATCTTTCAGCAGCCACAATAAATGTAACTTGATCACGCCCTCACAGTCCCAGGAGAGCTTTGTTTTGAAGACCAGATGGACTGTTAGGAATGAAAGTTCCACTCTCTGTGTAAGCCCAGAGACTCAGGAGGTCAAAGCAAGAGAATTGCAAGTTCAAGGCCAACCTCAATAAATAAGCAAGGCCCTAAGCAACTTTCTGAGATGCTGTCTCAAATTAAAAAAAAAAAAAAAAAATTTAAACAGCTGGGCACAATAAGGCGATGGGGATAATGGAAGTATTTTGCACTAGACAGAAGGGAGTGTAGGGAGAGGAGGGGGCATGGGTGTAGGAAGGATAGTAGAATGAATGGATATTGTTACCCTATGTGCACATATGATTACATGATCTGTGTAACTCTACATCATGCACAGCCAGATGAAAGAGAAGTTATGCTCCATTTATGTATGATGTGTCAAAATGCATTCTACTGTGCTGGGGTTGTAGTTCAATGGTAGAGCATTTGCCTAGCCTATGTGAGGAACTGGGTTTGATCCTTAGCACCGCATATCAATAGATAAAGAAATAAAATAATGGGCCTGGGGATGTGGCTCAAGTGGTAGTGCGCTCACCTGGCATGCGTGAAGCACTGGGTTTGATTCTCAGCACCACATAAAAATAAAAATAAAGATATTGTGTCCTATTGGGGCTGGGGATGTGGCTCAAGCGGTAGCGCGCTCGCCTGGCATGCGGGCGGCCCGGGTTCAATCCTCAGCACCACATACAAAGATGTTGTGTCTGCCGAAAACTAAAAAATAAATATTAAAAAAAAAAAAAAAGATATTGTGTCCACCTAAAACTAAAAAATAAAATATTAAAAAAAAAAGATTCCATTGACAACTAAAAAATATTTTTTTAAAAAAATTTAAATGCATTCTGCTCTCATGTATTTATTTAGAACACATAAAGTAAATAAATAAATTTTAAATGGCTGGAGATGTAGCTTGGTGGTAAAGTACCCCTGCATTCAATCCCCAGTATTTAAAAAAAAACCCTAGCCCATAGCTCTGGACCCTCTGTTACATAGGAAACATTTGTAGAGTTCGGCCACCAGGAGGCGCAGAGTGTTGCCTCTGTTCAGAAAGCAGCATTGGTCTCTGTCCACCACCTTCCTCCTCACAGAGGCTTCACTGTGGAATGACTTATTTCTCTCTTTCATTTCTTTATTCATGGGTACTAGAGATTGAAGCCTTGGGGGCTTAACCACTGAATAATATCCCCAGCCCTTTTTATTTTTTATTTTGAGACAGGGTCTCACTAAGTTGCAGAGGCTGGCCTTGAACTTTTGATTCTCCTACCTCAGCCTCCCAAGCCACTGGAATGGCATGAGTCCCACACCCAGCTCATTTCCCTCTTCTGAAGTAATCCTGTGGGAGTGTGGGTGTAGCTCAGTGGTAGAGCACTTGCCTAGCACGCACAAAGCCCAGGGTTCAATCTCCAGCACTGCAAAATGCACACACAGTCATTTGTTGTCACTTGGTGCTTCTGATTATCTTGAGAACTTACCCTTAGCTAAATGAGACTCAGCCTCTGCCCTGTATGATCCTGAAGACCAGTGAAAGAGACAGACACACACATGCTGCGGTGTGTGTGAGTGTAATGACTGGAGCAGCTGACCATGTCTCAGGGACTTAGCGGCCTCTGGGTGGGAGTGTGGTTTTGAACAGTGAGTAGGAATGCGGAGGGTGGGCAGAACTGCCCTCCTCTCCTGAGCTCTGCAGAGCCTCCTGATTGTCAGCTTCCTGCTCCCCTCTCCCGCTTCCTGCCAGGCAGCTGCACAGGAGTCTTTTTCAAAATCTGTTTTAGATTTTCTCCTCCCTAGAACTCTTTTAATGTGTCTCCTGCTCAGGGTGTAGACCTAGCTCATCCCCATAGAGCCTGGTGCCTTGCACGGCTGGCCCAAGCCTGCATCTGCTGCCAGCCTTACTGGCCCTCCAGTCCCTACCCACTCCCCTGCCAAGCCCTCTTTCCTGGGGTCTTCACACACACAATCTCCTCTCCTGATGGGTCATTTCCAAGAAGCCCTCCTTTAATCCCCCTCTTCTACCAGCAGGCTGGGTTCATCACAGCACATCTCCCCGTGACACAGGAAGCACCCCTTCACAGTTAGAAGCCTCACTAACTTTTATCACTATTTGAAGTATGTCACAGCATGTCTCCCCTCTGCTCCTTTGGCTGAACTCTGAGAGCTTAGCCATTGTGCCTGGTGCTTAATAGGTAGTCAGTAAACATTGGGACAAGAGACCCAGTGTGACATAGTGTGGTGCTGAGATGCTCAGTCATTGTAGTCCCGGGCCAAAGCAAAATCCCAGGACTTGACTTATTGTTCTAGGTTGAAAAATGGAATTTCCACTGGCACTTGCAGCATCAGCCACTCATTTGACCCCCAGTAATTGCTCCATGACTGGGAATTTCAGGTTGGGGACCAAGCCCAGTCTCCTGTTAGCTCGCAGCCTCCACCCATGCTCCCCTCTAACTCTGGCTCTCTCCCGCAGGGATCTTCATCGCCTTGCTGCTGCGTTTTGACATCAGGTAAGCGCGGGAGGGCCTGCTGTGCACTAGGGTTCTCCCAGGATTCTCCAGCGGCTTTCCAGAGCCCTGAGGAGGGACCTGAGGGGACCTGAGGGGACCAGACCCTCCACCCCCACAGCAGCCAGAGCAGTTCCGATTTCATCTACATTCCGAAGTTGTAAGCATGCCAAGAGCCCACGGCCAAAAGTTTTTTGTTCGGTTTGCTTTGGTTTTAAGTTGAGAATCATAAGCCACGAGACCTAAAAAAGTCCTGGTGGTACTTGTAGTGCTTTCTTACCGTGTGCCCTTGGCAAGTGGCCTGACTTTTATGAGCCTCAGGTTTCTTATCCTTAAGTGAGTGAAAAACAAGAGTATCTACCTTAAAATTACCCTGATAATGGAGAGGGGAGTGCTAGGCACAGGATGACCTCGGTGGCTCTGGGGGAGGTCAGCTATGGTCATCATCATTGTCCTCAGCTTCATTTATCAGCCTGGGGTCAGGTCATCATGTCCCAGCTGCTGAAGGTGTTCCCTGCCCTCTGCTTACTGAGATTCTTTTCTGTGTAAGGTAGAAAGTGAACACATGGGCTAGACTCAGTGATGCCGCCTGTAATTCCAGCAACTCGGGAAGCCAAGGCAAGAGGATTGCAAGTTCAGGGCCCACCTCATCAACGTAGACCCTTCCTCAACATAAAAATGGCTGGGGATGTAGCTCAGTGGTAGAGCGCCCTTGGGTTCCATTCCTAGTATCAAGGGGAAAAAGAAAAATAAAACACAAGAGAAAAGGGGCAACCTGGGTCACCACCTAAAACAAAAGGTCACGTTGGAGCAAAATCACCTGGGTAGCTGGGCCTCCTGCCAGCAGTAGGTGCATGTGACTATGCCGTCATTTTATGCTCAATCCTCCCAGCTAGGGCCTATGTGTATGCACTCAATTTTGAGGTAGCTTGTGAATTTTTCATCTCCTCACACCTAGTAACTGCAAAAACAGTACTAGTGTTGACAGTAGTAATGGCAATTTCAATGCCAGCATCATTGAAATTCTATTCAGAGGCCAGGTGCAATGGGACACGCCTATAATCCTAAAGCTCGGGAGGCTGAGGCAGGAGAATTGTGAGTTCAAAGCCAGCCTCAGCAACTTAGTGATGCCCTAAGCAACGCGGTGAGACCCTGTCTTTAATTAAAATATAAAAATGGGCTGGGGATATGGCTCAGTGGTTGAGTGCCCTGGGTTCAATCCTTGATACTAAAAGAAAGAAAATTTAGTTTGAGTGGGCCTCTGAAACACACAGGCTGACAGCCTACCTTTGAAGGGCTCTGGCCAGGTGGTAAGTAGAAGTGCATCTGGACCAGCCAGTTCTATTCCTGGCTGTTCTGAGTTAAGACAAAGAGAAACCCACAGAAGTCCCTTGGCTCATTTGCTGCAGACACATTCAGCTGCCAACACCCTCAAAGGCAGAATTCCTTCCCACCATGAGCCCTCAGGGTAAGCAAGCCCCTCAGAGTGGTTCCAGAATCAGTGCGGTGTTCCCAAAGGGAGTCACTTGTACCCCATCGCTCATAACAGGATCGTGTCAGTGTACTTGTAGCTCAAGACTTTAGAAGCAACCAGGGCAAGGAAAGGGGAGTCAGAAATATCCATTCGTTCCACAGATGTTAACCTGAGCCTCTAGTACTTGGCACTGTTCCAGGAGCTGAGGACACACAGAGGTTATGTAGCTGGCATTGTAAAGGGAAGTCAGGTAATGGCAATGCCAGGTTAAATATGACTCGTGTGTTCTGAAGGGAACCTTGGATGAATCACCTCCAGGAAGCCACTGGCGTGCAGCCAGCATCTGTTTAGCACCCACAAAAAGGTTGCTGAACCGTAGCATCCACTGCACTGAAAAGCAATAACTTGCCTGTGAAGTTTGTCTTATTATTTCTCAAAGCTTGAACTCGGGATGGGGATGTAGTTTGGTGGGAGAGTGGCTGCCTAGCATGAGTGTGACCCTTGGCTTAATCCCCAGCACTACCTACCCCCCAAAATTAAAAGGATCCACTTGTATCAGATTCACCTGGGTTGTTTTCAAAATGTAGATCCCATGGCCTCGCCCTAAGCTCATCAGATCACCCTCCCTGCTGGGTGTGGCAGCAGACCCCTGTAATCCCAGCAGCTGAGGGGGCTATGGGCACGAGGACTGTAAGTTCAAGACCAGCCTCCACAATTTAGCCAGACCCTGTCTCAAAATTTTAAAAGGACTAGGGATGCAGCTGGGGTTGTGGCTCAGTGGTAGCGCACTTGCCTGGCATGAGTGAGGTGCTGGGTTCGATTCTCAGCACACATATAAATAAATAAAAAATAAAGATCTGTCAACAACAACCAAAAAAAAAAAAAGGACTAGGGATGTAGCTCAGTGATAAGGCACCCCGGGTTAAATCCTAGTACCCAAAAAAAGGTCACCCTCCCTGGGGACTGGATCTAGAGCCCTACTTTTTTTTCCCCTTTCTTCCTTCCCAGCTTTCTAGATGATTTTTTATGCTGACTAAACTTACAGCCACTGTTCAGAGTTCTTGTATTTGATATTTACAACACCAAGGAGACAGGCTCTTGGTTTTCCTATTTTGCAGATAAGTAAACTGAGATTGAAAGAAAGAAAGTGACTTGTTCAAAGATACGAAGCTGGGGGCAGTAGTGAGTGCAGCGCGGAGCTTTGCCAGCCCCACAACTTACAGGGTCTCCCCCAGCTCCCTCCTTGGAAGGGATACTGCCACTCCAGTTCCTGCACTAACTCCCTCTTTCTTCCCATGCCTTCCTGGAAGCTTGAAGAAGAACACCCATACCTACTTCTACACCAGCTTCGCAGCCTACATCTTCGGCCTGGGCCTCACCATCTTCATCATGCACATCTTCAAGCACGCCCAGGTGAGCAAGACTTACAGAGGGCTTATCTGTCACAGGTACAGGCGGTCCAGAGGCAGGTACTGGTATCAGCAATCCCGTTTGTGATTCTCTTGACCTTTCACTGATGGTTGCAAGGTAGCTGCCATGCTCCAGGCAACACTCACGCTCCAGGGGCAAGGAAGAAGAGAAGGCCTAGCAGTCATACTGCCCACATTGTCAGGAGCGCAGGAACTTTCCCACAGCCCACAACTTTCTGCTCACTTCTCAAAGGCCTTTAGATCAGTATCACATGGCCACCCTGGGAGCAGGAGCATGTGGGAAGAAGACTGTGCTTCTGAAGCTCTGTAGTGGAGGCAGACGGAGAAGGACAGGATTGGGTGGGTGTTGGGTGTCCATTCTGGTGTCCACACAGATGAGATGTAAGGTGCTGAGGCTTCCCCTCCATCTCCTCCCCGAGTTAGCCAAGGCTCTTCGTCCTCCTTCTACCAGAGTGAAGCAGCATAGCATGAGGACTGGGAAGGAAACAGAATATGTGATTGCCTCCTCTCTGTTGGCAACAGGAGGAGCTCGTATTTGTTTGGCATCCCACGTGCAGGCTCTGAGCTCATGAGGGTCCCCTAAGAACAGATGAGAAACTAGAGCTCAGGTACCGCACTGAGTATGTGTGTAGTGGAGCCAGGATTCAAGCCTGGATCAACTTGCATGCCCAGGCTCTGCCCTGGCAGTAGGAAAGGCTGTGCGCAACAGGCTAAGGGAGCTCTGCTGGGAATCCAGACAGTCGACTCTGAGACTGTGGGCAGGTTGGCTGTTATGCTTGGTTTTCCTCATTCATTCATAAAACCAGAAAAGATAGAAAAATAGCCACCTTGGGGTGGTTTGAAGATGAGTTAATATAATTGAACTCCCTAGAGACACATCACAATAGTCTCCCCTCACCCTCCTACAGACTTCTGCTGTGGTTTCACTTACCCGGAGCTCAAAAACATTAAATGAAAAATTATAAAAATAACTTATAATAATAAGTTTTAAATTGCATCCAGTTCTGAGTATCATGATGAAATCTCTCACCATCCCATAAGAACCATCCCTTTTTCAAGGGATGTATGCACACTGTATGCACCACCCACCCATTAGTCACTAGCCATCGGGGGTTACAGACAGGGTTCAGTGTTACCACGCTTTCAGGCATTCACAATGGGGCATAGGGGTGGGTACTACTGTACTAGTGTTGCCTTTCCTTTTCCCCCTCCCCATGACTCAGACACAGAAAAACTGCCTTTGAATTACTACAGAAGCTTTTTATTGATCACTGTCAGGCACTCTGCTAAACCCTTAAAGAAGTCCCTTAGCCCATAGGTGGAGATACCAAGAACCCTTGCAGAACCACCTTGCACTCAGTTCTGCTCCAGATGGCCTCAGGGGCCAACTTAGAATGACATGCACTTGGCAAGGGGATCACAGAGTGAGTAGATCTGGGTTGGGTGACTAGTTCAAAGGCCTTTTGGAGGTCTCTGCTCTAGTTCCTAGCCTCAGAACTATTCCCTTGGCAGCCACCAGGTGGCAGGCTTGCCTTCTGGCTGTCTTAACTGAAAGAAGGATCCATTCCAAGCTCTCACACATGTAGGGAGCAGGAGTAAGAGATGATTCTCTCCTTTGTGGGGAAATTGCAACCCTAGGAGGAAGGGAGACTTCCCCAAGTCACACAGCAAGTTGAGCTGGGCCCCTACAAAGCCCTAGACTCTGGTCCCTGGTCCCTGGCCCCAGACCTGTGCTATACTCCAGCTGCTGCTCAGCCCTTCTGCCCAATCATCCAAGTAGGCATCACCCTTAAAATGCTTCTTGAGAAGGGCATCAAGGACACCAGGAAAACCTGTTCCATGAAGTCTCCCCTCTCTAAGACACAGGTAGTCCTGGTGCCAGCATTACTCTAGCAAGCAATTGGTGTCCTCTGTGAGAAGTTCAGCTTATCCTCTTTCAGAATCTTGCTTCAAGCCAGAAAGCCAGCAGCCTCCTCAGGAAGGCCTGTGGATATGTTTGAGTCTAATGTCATTGCGCAGAGGGAGAGACAAGCCCGGAAAAGGAAGCAGTTTAGCCATGGTGACATAGCAAAGCCAGTGGAAAGCCAGGAGCCTGCCCTAGCTCATTGCCCTGAGCTTTACAGCCCATCTTCTCCTTGGCACTGACTGGTGAAGTTCCCTGAGTCCTTGAGAGGAAAATAAATAGTACAGACTGTATCCCTCTGATAATAGTGAACCTACTGCTTCCCAAAGGAGCCCTTCCCATTGGCCCCTGAAACCTCTCAGTGACTGCCAGTTCCCAGGTGAAGCTGCCTGCAAGGGAAGAGCCAACTTTCTACCTCCTTGCCCTAGAAACCCTCTCTGCCCAGTCTGGCTTTGGTAAATAGAACGCACTGGTCTTAGAGGCAGAGGAACCTAGGTCCAAATCCTGGCCAACTGTGATTTTTTTTTTTTTTTTTAACGTTTTTTAGTTGTAAATGGATTATTTATTTATTTATTTATTTATTTATTTATATGCAGTGCTGAGGATTGAACCCAGGGCCTCACACATGCCAGGCAAGTGCTTTACCACTGAGCCACAACCCCAGCCCCCAACTGTGATTTTGAATGGGTCCTTCAATTAGTCTTGCTAATTGCTGAGGCTGGCTTTGAACTCAAAATCCTCCTGCCTCAGCCTCCTGAGCTACTGGGATTACAGGTGTGTGCTGCTGCGCCAGCATAAATCTTTCTCTGTGTATCACTTGGCTGCTTCTTACAGTCGTATGATTTATTTGTTTGTTTGTTTGTTTGTTTAAGTTGTAGATGGACACAATACCTTTATTCTGTTTTTATGTAGTTCTCAGGATGGAACCCAGTGCCTCACACATGCGAGGCAAGCGCTCTCCCACTGAGCTACAGCCCCAGCTCTTCTTACAGATTTTAATGTGGACCTTTGTCATTTTGTTATTGTTTTGTTTTGGTTTTTGTTTATTACCCTTGGCTCGAAATCTAGTACACAGCAAAGATCTAATGCCAGTGGAAGAAGCACAGCTGTCCAGAGTCAAATCCAAGCTAACACATCTATATGACCTTTGGGCAGGTCATTTCCTCCTGAGCTTCAGTAACATCATCTGTAAAAACCAGATCCTAAGACTTAGGGTGTTAATAGATTCAAGGATAATCTCCATAAGATGTAGTTCACAGCCCACCTGGGCAGGTGCCAAGAAATGATCTGAAGATCTGACTGGAGAGTGCAAAGGGAAAAGAGAGTCCTGTGTTCCCTGACTGCTGGCTGCTCTGCACCAAGGATGGTATCTCCGAGACACCCTAACTTCATGAACACCCATGAAGAAGCCGGTCACTAGTATTTATCAGGCCCTGATTGGCTGATTGGTACGCAGCAGTGAACAAGACAGCTGGGCCCACACTGACCCAGGCCACAGTCCCTCAGGGGAGGGAGACACCAGTCAGCAAGGGCTCAGGACCATAGATTGACCAGTAAATGCCCTAAGGGTGAGAGTTAGAGGGCTCTGGGAGCCTGCATTAAGGAGACCTGTTGCCTTGTGAGTGCACGCTCCCCGGGGAGGAGAGGTACTATCAGCTGAGGGCTGAAGGAAGAAGAACCTGGACAAAGGCGGAAACAACCTCCAAGCCGCAGAGACAGTACACACAAAGGTCCTGGGACTGGCCAGAGCAGGCAGGGTCAAGTGAGGGTAGAAAAGGAAGCAAGAGCCGCATTTCCTGGGGCCTTCACACCTGGCCAGCACTGGGGAAGGGTGAACTGTGGATCCATGTCTACCTTTCAGGTGCTGCAGGGGAAAGGCCAGCATGCCTGGGCTCTGGAGATGGGCTGAGACATGCCAGGGAGGTCAGCTGAGGGCCTTCACTGGGCATGGGGATGCCCTGAGGGGCTCTTAGCATACTTGTCCTTTCTCTTCACCCAGCTTTACCAGGAGTCTCAGCACAGACTTTTGGGGCCAGATTGCCTGGGGGTAAATCCTGGGGAGCCAGTGACCGCTGGGTCACCTTCATACAAGCTGCAGCAAACTCCGAAAGCATAGCAGCTATGTCATCATCGTCCCCATTACAGACGCATCCCCCAGAGCATTTGCTGCAATTCGAGCCACCTACCCTAAGCCTGGGCAGCAAGGCCTCTGAGAATGAGAGTGCCCAGGCAGCTGCAGTTTGGAATCTAGTGTCTGAGTGGTTCACTCTGCCAGCCAGACTCCCGAGACCCCTTGAAGCCCTGCATCCTTGAGTGTCTGTGTTTGCTGCAGTCCCTCCAAGTGAGGATCAGCTCTGGTCTAGGAGTCTAGGAACCCTGGGTTCAGGTCCAACCACTGCCTTGCTCTACAAGCCTGGGAGAACTGTCCCACAGTTAAGCCCAGGAGAGGGTTGGGGTGCGGGGCATGGCCCTGAGCAGGTGCCCTGCCCAGCACTGCCTGACCAGCCTCTCTCTCACAGCCTGCTCTCCTGTACCTGGTACCTGCCTGCATTGGCTTTCCCGTCCTGGTGGCGCTGGCCAAAGGAGAAGTGACAGAAATGTTCAGGTAAGGCTGGATGGGGCAGACATTCACTTGGACCCAGGTGCACCTTCGGGTGGCTAAGGGGGTGGCGGTACCCATCTCCAGGGACCACTGTTCCCTCTCCACCTGCTCCACTCTCATTGTCTTCCAGCACCTGAGCTATGGCTGTGGACACCAGTGGAAGCCTTTGCCTGGGCCAGGAGCCTAGGAGGGTGAGGCCTCGTGGCCTCATGGCAACTGGTCTTAAGAAGGGAACACTAGTGTTGGTTTCTCCCCAACCACAGCCCAGAGTCCCGGGTTCTCAGCCTGGCTTTGCCATCAGATGACTTGAAGCGAGTCTTTCTCCTCCCCCAGCATCAGTTTTCACACGTGAGCAGTGAGACGGGATGTGTGGGAGAAAGTACCCTCTGTTCAGAATCGCGTGTTGGTCCCTGTTAGCCGCCTCCGTGGCCTTCACTGCACAGCTCACTGCTCGCTCCCCATCTCAGCCTGTCTCACTCAACATACCCCTTCCCCAGGGCCACATCCACATTTGCCACACCTCATGCACAGCCCCACCCCCTACCCCAAGGCCTGCGTGACTCCAGCAGGTTTCTGCTCCCTAGCACCACCGACCCCACCTGCCAGGGACCTAGAAATAGCTGCCAGCTGCGATTAAGCTGCCCACTCGGGGGCTTCCACCCAGCTCCACCTGCCTGGTCTCCAAGTTGCCCCTCAAGCGCCTGCCAGGGCCTCCTGTGCACCTGGCTGCCCGCAGGGCAGCCTGTGACTCACCCCTCCCCCGTACCTGCCTCTGCCCTCCCTGTCCTGCCTGGAATCCCAGCTCCCAGCCTGCATTCGTATCCTCCTGGCCTGGCAAAGCCCTGTGATCTCTGAGGCAAGTTGGGTGGGGAAATGAACTTGAGGACAGATTTGGGGAACCTTTGGGATGAGGCATGGCACCTGATCCCCGAGTTCAGCACCTCACTCATCCAGCTTCAGGCCCTACCACCCCACCCCCTGGGGTCACCTCCCTAGCTCAGTCCTGTTAGGCTCTCAGCAGCCAGAACTCTGCCCAGCCAGGCCAGGAGGTACCTCCCTTTGTGTTCCTCAGTGCTCTGGTGTCCAGGCAGCCTGCCCCGCCTCTGCCCCCGCTCACCCAGGAGGTCCTTGGGGAAAGGTGAAAGACAGGGGGTCTTTCTCTCTCTCCATCCTGTCCTCTCCTCTCCTCTTCTCTTCTTTTTCTTTTTTCTGTGGTGCTGGGGGTTGAACCCAGGGCCCTGCGCTGCTAGACTTTCCGCTGAGCCACACCCCAGCCCTGCTCTCTTTTTATGTCCTTTCCACTCTCCCCCTGACTTTGCACTTTTTGCTTTATTTTTTTCTTTTATTATTATTATTATTGTTCTTTTTTCCCCCCCGTGTGTGTGGCGGTGGTCATACTGGGGATCACTCAGGCTGTTTCACCACCAAGCTACATTCCCAGTCCTTTGAGACAGGGTCTTGCTAAATAGCTGAGGCTGGCCTCAAACTTGGCAATCCCCCTGCCCCAGCATCCCAAGTAGCTGGGATTATAGCATGGGCCATGTCACCTGGCTCGTTTATTTTTAAATTGTTTCAAAATTTGGTTTAAACATGGTTCAGAATTCCATGGCTATGAGAGGGAGAACATCCTCCTGCCCCAGCCACCAGAGGCCAGCTCTCGCGTACATTCAGAAACACCTGTGATCTGAGATGCAAATATGTCTCGATTATGGTGGCATTCTGCGTCTTGATTTTTTTGCACGTGTGTTTTTGTGGTTTCCTGGTGCTAGGGGTCAAGCCTCACACATGCTAAGCACACCCAGCGACACTGCCAGCCTTGGTTTTTATCTGAGAGAGACCTCGGCAGCAGCACATGGCACAACCAGGGCATTCTTGCTCTTCTGCTCAGCTGCGTGAGCACCTGTCCTTGTAGAGGTACGCCTGTCCTTGGTCTCCAAGTAAAACTGGCCTCTTTTCACAAAGTCTGAAAGTGCAGAGCAGATAAAAATAAAATGGTTGTGCTCCTTGCCCCTTGGAAACGCAGTCTGTCTCCCTGAGCTTTCCCTCTCCATCTCTTGTTCTCTCTCTCTCTCTGTCTCTGTCTCTTCACACAGCTACGAGTCCTCTGCGGAAATCCTGCCTCATACCCCGAGGCTCACCCACTTCCCCACGGTCTCGGGCTCCCCTGCCAGCCTGGCCGACTCCATGCAGCAGAAGCTAGCTGGCTCTCGTCGCCGGCGCCCGCAGAATCCCAGCGCCATGTAATGCCCAGCGGGTGCCCACCTGCCCGCTCCCCCCACTGCCCCAGCCCAAGGTAGGGCACACACTCTAGCTCTCCACGGCCACCAGCACTCTGCACACCCAGCCCTTTGGGGAGCAGGGAGCCCCAGAACTTTGGAGTATTCACCAATATTATGGGGCTCATGTGAGAGGGTGGACATGAGTGACCCTTGTCAGATAGTGGTGGATGCTGTGACCACTCACTGTGTGCACAACCCGAGCCACGATGCTGCTGCTTTCAGAACCTTTCTTTCTTCATCTGTAAGTGGGCACATTCCTGCCTCACAAGGCTAATCTGGTGAGGAAACGTGTATTGTCCTTGGCATGTACACAGTTGCTCAATAAGTGAAGTCCACAGTAAGAGTTAAGCCAAGGTGTCCATCTTCAAGAACAGTCTCCACCACTCACACCCCTGAGGCTGAGCTGTTGGGCTCCTGCCATGCGTCCTGAGAGGCAGCCCATCTCCCATCGGCTCAAGTTGGCTGTCTTTCCCCACACACACACTCTTTAGCAGAAGGTTCAGGAAGCTTAAAGATGATCCATCTAAGCTCATGCCCAACCTCTCCTACTTGCTGCTGTTCTTGCTGCCTCTTGGCACCACGAGGGTACAGAGAAGGCAGAGTCTGGGGAGGGCACCTTGGGGCTGGGGCCAGGTACTGGCAGATACTGGGCAGTGATACAGAGCTGATGATCCTTACGTGCCCAGGGGCTTCCTGGGATGGCAAGGGTGGGGGGGCAGCAAAGTTCTGTCTCCGCCTCCGCTGAATGTGTTTTTATTGTCTTGTTTTCTAATCAGTTATGAGGAGTCAAATCCTAAGGATCCAGCAGCAGTGACAGAATCCAAAGAGGCCACAGAGGCATCAGCATCGAAGGGACTAGAGAAGAAGCAGAAATGATGCAACTGGTACCCGACCCTGTCAGGGCCAGACCAGCCAGGGAGATGGGCTGACAGGCGTGCATGGGAGAGGGTTCAGGACACTGCTCCAGGGACTGGGATGGGGGCAGCAGGATCCCTCCAGCTAGGTCTCTGTGGCCTCTGTTTCCCTCTCCCCCCTTCTCTGGCCCTCCTCTGCTCTCCTCATCCCCTGCAGGCAAAGGAAACCAACCCCCAGCTTCCTCCCTCCCCCGGAACCAGGTGGGAAAACTGGGTGTGATTTTTAGATTTTTGTATTGTGGACTGACTTTGCCTTACATTAAAAACTCATCCCATGGCCAGGGTGGACGCTGTGCTTCTGTAAGGGTCCTCTGCACATGCACCCAGTGCCTTGTCCTGGGTTTACTAAGTCTCATCTGCCCACCCAGAAACTTCTGCAAGCGCTCTTCTGAGTGCCCGCTCCGGTGCTGGGTCAGTTTAGCACCCCAAGAACACCCTGTGGCCAGCAGGGGGGGCCATAAGCCCTCCTGAGCCACAGGTTTTCCTCATCACCTGCTTCTGGATACTTGGGGCAATAAGGGTGCTGGGCAGTCACTCACCTTGGTGAATGGTAGGGAAAGAACCAGAGGCCAACCTGACTCGGCAAGGGGACCAATAGTTATAAAGCCAGCCTGCCAGCTCCCGTGGCCCCAACGTCCATATGACTTCAGCTGGTGACCCACACTCTAGGCTGCCGTGGAGTTCAAGGCCCCATCTCTCCCATTCTGCCCATTCTGGGTTCTTCCCAAAAAAAGCAGCCAGTTACAACACAAAGGCCGGTCCTTTAGAGAGGCTGGAGTGGAGAGGGACTCAGTGTCTCCTAGGCCATCTAGGCCCAGGAGCTATAAATACCAGGACCAGAGTTTCCCTAACCCCTGTCCTGCATGAGAGCCCCCAGTGGACCTGGCAAGAAGTGACACGGCCTTCATCCAAGTGCCTAGGAAGGGGTCGCTGGGTGGGGCCACAGAGACAGGAGGCTGTGGCCATTGTTCTCCCTGGCCCAAGCTCCAGGTTCACAGGCTAAAAATAACAGGCTTCCAAAAGACAAGTGTGACTAACGCCTCAGAAGTGAGACCGATGACCAGGCATCTCATTGTCACAGTCTTAGGCTGTAGGTGCTGTTGTCAGCCCAGCATGCAAATGAGGGAATGGAGGAAGCCTGTCCACAGACAGGGATTTGGCCTCGAGCAATCCAGGTGGGAATTGAGAGTTCTAAGGACTGTTCCACTGCTTTCCAGACCCCTGGGACCAAGTCTCTGTAGCTATTACACTGGGCCCCTCTGAGCGAACCACCCAACTTCTCTGGGCCCAGGATACTATGAAAAGGGAAGGAAATCTCAGGCTTCTAGCCAGGGGGTCCTTTCAGGGACTTCTGGATCTCTGCAGATTCCAGCTGCCTCCAGAGGGAGGCCGTGTGGTCCTGGAACAAAGCCCCTCTGAGGGCGGCAGATGGGGCAGGCAGCCCAGGCACACAGCGTGGTTGGCTCTGTGGCCCAAGGCCCACAAAGGCCTCATTGAGTCACCGCCAGCCCCCGGCGGAGGCTGAGGTGGCAGTGGCGCCGGGCGCCTGCCACCTAATGACCGTTCTGGCCTGGCCAGATGTTCCACAGACCTCGGCAGGGCCGCCCGGCCAGCCGGCACCGCAGAGGCCACTCCAGTTCCAATTAACCAGCTTCAGCTGAGCAAACAGCGGGCAGCAGGGCCCAGCCCGGGCGGTAGGCCCAGCCTGCAGAGTCTCCGAGTCTAGACTCCAGATGTGAACCGCCACCGCCCGAGTCCCATGGAAAAATGGCACCAGGCCGGGCACGGATTGGGTCTGCACTCTGGGCGGCAAGAGTGGGTGGCTGGGCAGGGCCAAGGTGGGTCTGGTGCCAGCCTCTCCCTGGGGTGGGGGCAGATTCTTGAGAAGCTACTCTACTGCCCCTGATTTGTGTCCTGGTCTGCCTCAGTCTCCCCTGACCACAGTACAAGGGGGCTCCAGCCCCACGGAGAGCCCCAGTACAGGCTTGGTATGCAGCAGTTTCACATGGGACTAGCATTATGCTAGCATCTTAAAATATTTAATCATTGTAGTAACTTAAGATACCTGCCGCCCACCCGCTTGGTACTGGCGATTGAACCCAGGGATTCTTTACCACAGCCCTTTTTTTTTTTTAGTTGTAGATGGACATAATACCTTTATTTTATTTTATTATCTTTATGTGGTGCTGAGGATTGAACCCCAGGCCTCACACATGCTAGGCAAACGTTCTACCACTGGGCCACAGCCCCAGCCCTCCAGCCCTTTTTTTATTTACTTATTTTTTCATTTGTGGTCATGGGGATTACCTTTTTCTAAATTTAGAGACAGGGTCTCACTAACTTGCTGAGGCTGACTTTGAACTTGTGATCCTCCTGCCTCAGCCTTGAAGCCCTTGAAATTACAGGCATGGACCACCTTACCTACTGCAGCCAGCTGCCCCTGGCCTTGAACTTGCAATCCTCCTGCCTCAGCCTCACTGGTATCACGGTGCGCCCCCCCCCCCCCCCCCGCCCGCCCCTGCCTAGCCTTACTGTTTTTTACAGATGCGGGGAAGGAGGCAAAGAGGCCTTAAGTACCAAGGGAGCATTTGAGCCCAGGGTGCCTGGTTTCCATGACCATGACAGCTGACCATGGTGACATTTGACATAAATTCGAATTCTGGATTTCCTGGATCTCTTCTTGGTTTGGTGGACGGGGACATGGGGTGCAACCTAGAGTGCAGGGCTGGCTCCCACAATGTGACTGAGAGCCTCGCACGCTGTCCTGTTTCCCCAGCTGTGAAGGAGTAAAAATCTCCTCCCTAGGCGAGTCCATCTTCTTGTGGGGGGGGAAAGCCTTGAGCCCTCTATGGGGCCCACTAGCAGGAATGTAAGACACCAATCAAGTGGTTGGGAACAGCAGGGTACACGAAGGTCAGATGCCCACTCACCCTGAAGGGTGATGTTATGACAGCACAGGAGTGATGCCTCGGATTGCCCTGATCCTGTCCCATCCCGAGCAGCAAAGCAAAAACCTGTGCAACCCAAAGATCAGAGTCCTGGTGTGTGGCCCTGCGCGGTGGCTCTAGCCTGTAACCCCAAAGACTGGAGGCCGAGGCAGGAGGATCACGAGTTCAAGGCCAGCCTCAACCACTTACCAAGAACAAGACCCTGTCTCAAGATATACAGGGCTGAGGTTTAGTGGTCCAGAGATCCTGGGTTCAGACCCCACTACCAAATAAAGCTCAGCTGTCCCTGCACCAAGGGGTAAAACTAGCCCTTGGGGGGGGGGGGGGTGCTGGGATTGTGGCTTAGCGGTGGAGCGCTCGCCTAGCACTGGCGGGACCGGGTTCCATCCTCAGCACCACATAAAAATAAAGGCATTGTGTTGTGTCCATCTACACCTAAAAAATAAATATTTAATTTATTTAATAAATATTTATCCCAAGACAGCAAGACCTACAGAGTCACAAAGTGAACATCCCAGGTGGAGTCTGCTCTCTTCCCGCCCCTACCCCGTGTGACTCCCCGCGGGATCCCAGGCACAGTCGAGGGAGGCGGAGGCTGCATCCTGCCGGGCTCGTCAGGAAGGGCCGAGCGAGCGGGAAGGAAAGCACCACCTCCCGCCCCCGCCGCGGCCACACCTGGGCTCTCCGCGCGGGCAGGGGGCCCCCGGCCGGCGCCTGGCTCCAGCGAGTCTGGGCCGCCTCCCCGCACGCCCAGTGGGGGCCGCCAGATGGGCCAGCCGCCCGCCCAGCGACGCAAGCAGGAAACTGCAGCCAGGCGGCCAGGAAGGCGCGCGGGAGGGAGAGAGGGGCGGGGCCGGGGCGGGCCCCGGCCACCAGGGCGCGCTGGGACTGGCCGGCTGGGAGCGGTCCAGTCCGAGCCCTGCGCGCCCTCGCCGGTTTCCTGGAACAAGTATTTTGCCTCTTGTGACTTGGTTTTCAAACCTGTAAAATGGGACTGCTAATCTCAGTCGTATCACAGTGTGACTTCAGGGCAATTTCTTTCCCTTCCGTTCTTGGTTTCTTACCTGGAAGAAGAAGAACAAATGTACCTCCCTCCGCCAGGTCTGTCTCCACTGGGATGTAAAGTCTGGGAGGGCTAAACCCACGTGTTTTCCTCTCCACGATATAACACCCGGCTCAGTGCCCGAAACATGAAACATGCAGGCATTCAGTATTTGCTAAATAAATGAATATAAAGGTCTGGGACAATCCTGAGTCCAAGCATATTAGTGGGCCCTTCACAAATGGACACATTTGCTTTGCTTGGTGCTAATGCTGCCAACGGTGTGGCTTCCTGTCTACTGAGTTTCATTTTCCTCCTCCACCTTGGGTATGAGGTGGGTATGAGGACTGAACAATGATCCAAGGACAGCACCTACAGTATGTCCTCAGCAGATGGTATGTATGGAAGAGTCTTCAAGGTATGAAAAAAGAGACACAATTTGGTAAATTTAAAGGCAGAGGAATTGGGTATCTTAGGAAATATTTTCTGTGAATACAAACTTTTATGTATTTTGTATTTTTAAGATTTTGAGCCAGATGAATCTGTTCTCAAAAAAACAACACAATTGCCAGAGGCAGTGGCCACACCTGTAATCCTAGAGACTAGGGAGGCTGAGACAGGAGGATCATGAGTTCAAAACCAGCCTCAGCAGTTTAGCAAGGCCCTAAGCAACTCAGCAAGATTTGTCTCTAAATAAAAAATATATTTTTAAAAGGGCTGGGGATATGGCTCAGTGGTTAAGTGCTAATGGTACCCAAAAAAAAAAAAAAAACACAATTGCAATAAAAATGAATTTAGCCTTAGGGGAGAAAAGTATTATCTGTATATGGCATAAGGAGGAAAGGAGGCATATGAAACTCAGAGGGTCTGAGACCTGCCCAGGATCACAAACAGCAAGGAAATGGCAAAGAGGAGATTTGAATGCAAATTCAATGGACTCCAATTAAATACAAGGAGCAGAGGGGAGAAAACTCACCTCCCTCACTTGCCTTTCCTCACTTCCACCAAGAGGAGGCACTTGGCCCCAAGGAGAGGCAGGAGGAAGGGAGAGAAGCCAGAAACACAATAGAGGAGATGTCAGGTGAGCAGATCCCAAGGGCCAGGCCCGGGAGCCCAGGTTCTATGCTGATGGCAATGGGCAGCCAAGACAGTACCCTGAACAGGAGAGAGGCACAGTCCTCTTCCCTCCGTGCTCTGGATGAACCAGGGCCTCGCCCATGCTGGGCAAGCGCTCCGCTCCAAGCTGCTCCCCAGGCCTTTCTTTTTTTATTTTGAGATGAGGTCTCCATAT